AAGATGTGAGGATCACAGACTCATTAGCCTGATGAGTCACACTTTAAAGATATTCTTAAAAATACTACATCAAAGAGTATACAAAAAATGTGAATGGGACATCAGTGATTCCCAGTTCGGGTTTAGGCAAGGTTTAGGAACACGAAAAGCAATAGTAGCAACACAGGTACTGGTCCAAAATTGTTACGATCAGAGGAAGGATGTGTTCCTATGCTTTTTAGATTACAAAAAAGCTTTTGATCGTGTCCAACACCACAAGTTAATGCAGATTCTCAAGAAAGTTGATATAGACCAAAAAGACATAAGATGCATTGAAAACTTGTACTGGCATCAAACGGCACAGCTAAAAATAGACAATTCTATATCTAAGCCCATACATATAAGAAGAGGCGTTCGACAGGGATGTGTGCTTTCCTCTCTTTTATTTAACATTTATTCAGAAGCCATATTTCAAGAGTCTTTGGAGGATGCAGAGATGGGAATCAAGGTGAATGGAGTATTGATCAACAACATACGATATGCTGATGATGGTGTCTTAATTTGTGACAACATAGTCGATCTTCAACAACTTGTCACTATAATCGGAGAATACAGTGAGCGAATGGGACTAGAGATTAATACCAAAAAGACCAAATTCATGAGCATCTCCAGGAACTTGAATGCATTTGAAAACTCCACCATAACACTGAATAGTAAATCCATAGAAAGAGTGAGTAAATTTAAATACCTGGGATCGTGGCTTTTTGAAGACTGGGCATCGGACAGGGAAGTAAAATGTCGCATTGAGCAAGCTCGACAAGCTTTCGGAAAATTCAAGAAGGTACTGACTTGTTCTGAGTTCGATCTTCAACTGAGACTAAGGTTTACTAAGTGCTACGTATGGTCAGTGCTGCTATATGGCGTAGAGGGCTGGACACTCAAAACGAGGGATATAAAGAGATTGGAAGCTTTCGAAATGTGGCTTTATCGCCGTATCCTAAAAATACCATGGACAGCGAAAATCACAAATATAGATGTCCTTAAAAGAATAAACCAAGAACGCCAACTTTTCGAAACCATCAAGAAAAGGAAAACGGCGTATCTAGGTCACATCATGCGAAATGAAAAATACCAGTTCCTCCAACTTATAATCGAGGGTAAAATTGAAGGCAAGAGAGGAATGGGACGCAAGAAAATGTCCTGGCTCCGAAACATAAGGCAATGGACAGGGATTAACGACATACAATCTCTGATACATATTGCAAGAAATAGAGAGTTAATGGAAAATGTGATCGCTAATATCCATTAGTGGATTTGCATCTGAAGAAGAAGAAGAAGAAGAAGCGCTTCTTTCTAATAAATTCCACAGGGTGTTGCAAATTACGATGAAAAAACAAAACTTTATTTTTACAGGCTAGAAATCACAATCACAACAAAATAATAACACCGATATAGAAGGTTATTTTTATAATTCTAACAATTTTGACTATAGATCGTTGAATTTATTTATAGAGGTCAAATTTTGCTAGTGGTATAAGTCTATAATAATAACAATAATTAGTCCGAATTTTTTCATATAACAATGATAGCCATATACGCGTGTATCGAAATTCTAACGAGCCATAGATCTTAGAAGCTTAATATATCTTATATATAAAACTATTTGAAAGAACATTTGTAAGGCCCCAAGAAGGTATTTTTTGACAGTTCGCAGGAAATTTATAATTATAAAGGAAAACGTAATCGTCACAATCACAAATCAAAAATCAGTTTCATTCATGTTTAATACAAACCATACGAGTAAATCAAAAATGAAAAAATTATGCGATGGCGTTTGGAGCTTTCTTGTTTTAAATATGATATTATTTATCGTCCAGGAAAGGCTAATGTACTATCAACAATATGCAATAATATAAATAATACATACAAGTTATATCAATTATTATATTCAGATTTATCAAATTCTGGGATTACTCGTATGTACCATTTTATAAGAATTTGAAATTTATAATACATTATTCTATAGATGAAATTAAACAAGTAATTATCTCTCGTCCAATCTGTGCAGAAATTAAACCTAGACTTTATAAGAAAGATGATAAGCATTTAATCAAATCAACAGCTCCGTTCGAAAAATTGAACTTTGACTTTAAAGGTCCAATACCCAGTTCTTCTATAAATTCCCATATGCTTAAAATTATTAACGAATTTTTAAGATTACCTTGGGCTTTTCCATGCTCAGACAGATCTAGTTAGACAGTAATTAAATGTTTGAATCAACTATATTGTTTATATGGTAAACGGCATATATAAATTCTGACAGGGGAACTAGCTTTAATTCACAAGAATTTATTAATTATTTATACCCTATTAGTATCTTTAAGTAGAACAACACCATATAACCCTGAAGAAAATGGTCAACTCGAAAGATACAATGGAGTTATATGGAAAGCGGTGAATCTAGTATTGAAAATCAAAAATTTAGACATCACTAAATAGAACATTATTCTAACAGATCTGTGCATTTTGTACGAAGTTTACTATGTACAGCAAACAATTGTACAACCCATGAACGTTTGTTTACTTATCAACGAAGATCTACTACCGGAGCTTGTATTCATTTATGGCTCAAAGATTCAGATAAAGTATTACTCAGAAAATTTGTACAAAGTATTCGATAATTTAGTTAAAGATTTTGATCTTTAAAAAGCCAATTCAGATTATGCCTTAATACAGTATCCAAATGGAAATAGAAATACAGTTGCAACAAAGCATGTAGCACCTAGAGGTGAGCTAAATTATTGAATCACTATAACGATGAAGATGAAAATGAAAGTCCAAATAATACACTAGAGAATTATACTAGTAATTCAATACAAAATTTACCTGTTCAAGAGCCAAATCAAGTACCAAATGATAGGAAAAGTAGATTGGAAAATTCAGATTTTCAATCTAGCCTTAAATCAGCTAGAATTAAAAATTAAACCTAGATATTTGCAAGATTTTGTTCAAAAATAGAGCCGGGTGAATGTAGTATAATTTAGGGTTCCTAATGTTGTGACAGTTGTCAGTGTTTAAATAATTGTTTGGTCATTCTAATGTCAAATTTTATGTGAATATAAGCCTAATTCCGTAAGAAGGTATTTTACTAAAATGAATTTAGATAAAATGAGAGGGCCGTCGACAGGGCTAAATCCGTCTTTAGATTCTAAAAAGTTTTTCTGGAATACTCTTAGGAAAAATGAGAACTTATTTTAAGTCATTTAAAGACTAAATGAAATACAAATAACTTTAACTCCCCAATTTAACGCTTTAGTGTACTCAAAAGTATTGAAATTTTATGAACAAAACACATTAAAATTTACATTTACTATCTATAAAATCGAGGTTTGTATTGAGTAATTGAGCAATTAAAGTGAGTATTGATGCAAACACAACATTATCATAAAAGTGCCAATTCTAAAAACAAAGGCAAAAATGTTCTGGTTCTATCCATCATCTTAAAGAAATGAATGTTATTGAGTTAAGAGCATTTTTGGGACTCCTTGTTTACACTTTACACTGCCATTTTCAACTTCAGTCACGAAAATATAGACTGTTTATTTGCAACAGATGGAACTGGAAGAGACATTTTCAAAGCAGTTATGAGCAAAAAAGATTTGCTGATCTTTTACTTGCTATCCGATTCGACAATCCTGAAGACAGGGAGAAAAGCAAAAAAGATGATCCAACTGCAGCTATTTCATTTATATTCAACTTTTTCATAGAAAATTATCAGTGTATACGAACTTGGTCAATCTGCCACAATTGATGAAATGCTTGTAAGTTTACGAGGTAAATGCCATTTTAGTTTAAAATGTACATGCCTAATAAACCGGCTAAATATGGACTCAAAATACAGTGTCTTAAGGATGCACGTAATGGTTATTTGTATAATGCTTATATCTACAGCGGAAAAGACTCCGCTGATGGATTTGGTATCAGTGACGAGATCAAAAAATTCTTAAAGCCTACACAAACTGCGTTGCGCTTAGCTGAACCGCTCTTTGGTAGCAACCGAAATATCACAGCTGATAATTGGTACTCTTCTATTCAATTAGTGGATATTTTACGAACGAAAAATTTGACTTATGTGGGCACACTAAAAAAAAGGCTGAAATACCTCCATCTTTCCTGCCCAACAGAAACAGACCGGAAGGGTCAACAATTTATAGATTTATGAAAGAATGTACCTTAATTTCTCATGTAGGAAAAGTGGGAAAGGCTACAGTACTTATATTTTCAATGCATAGTAGACGTTATAGTGATTTCTCTACTAAAAAACCAGAAATTATTTCTTATTAAATGAGAATAAGGGAGATTCCCTAGATGAGAAATGCTCCAAAAGCACCTCAAACCGTCGAATCTGAAGATGGCCCTTAACAATTTTTTGTCGCATATTGGACATTTCTATAGCAAATTCATATATTCTACATCAGTGTTACAAAAACAATCCAGTAATAAAAGAAAAAAGTGTTTTTGCTATGGAGTTGTAACATTTTTCTTAATAAAAAAATTATTTTTGAGTGTTGTTTTGCTTCCTTAAAAACAGTAGTTTCGCAGACTACGCCGGACCAGTTACGCTACTGCTCAGTACCGGACCAGGTAAGAGTTAATAAAACTCAATTGCGTGTCTTCGAACCGAAAAGAACCACTTTATTATTGGATGTACAATATTAAATTATTTTATTACATTATCTGCCGAAAGAAATGACATTTAAAGCTTGAAAGACACAACTAATATTAAATGTACGTCTCTTGTGACAGCAATAAAAATTAACAATGGCAAGACCAAAGTCGCTGTCAAAAGCTAAATAAGATTTTTTTAAGTATTTTGACAGTGGCGTAATAAAGTATTAACTTACAAAAATTAAAGAAAAAAAACAAAAAAATGTTCTGTTTTTCTTTACATGCGTAACATTCCCTTTCTAATAGTTTCTTAATTTCTTGAATTAATGTAGTAAAATAGGAAACTATTTTAGGGAAGATGTCGGTTGTGGAACATGAGCATAGCTGCCCTAGTCTGCCTGACAATATACAATGTGATGTTGACCCTAAAACTGATGTACGCTCAGGAGTGTCCGAAGCAGCAACAGAAAATTATACAGAAAGTTGTTTACCAGAAGTGCAACCAGGAGTCGCCATCAATCCCGGATGATGCCTTTTCCTCTCTGGACCTAAACTTAGGCCGGTGGGATAACCAACATAAGTATAAGATGTTTGACAATTTTGTTTTAGGAGAAAAGTAAGCAGAAGTTTTTTTTATTTAGATTATAAACTTCTCCGTTTTCTTTATTATTTAATATTTTTTAAGCTCTGATATTGGAGATTTCACTTGGTTTCCTATCTGGGCGTTAAAATCCTCCAGTATTATCATCTTCCCTCTGACTTGATCTACTACCTGTTAAAGTTCGCCATAAAATGTTTTGTTTGTTGTTTCAGGCTTGTTATTTTCTGAGACGTACACTCCGGTGATATTTAGGTCTTCCTTTTTTATTCTTATCTTGGTTGCTTCAATATTTTCTGACACGCTTGACACTCTTTGATGTGATTTTGGTATGTTTGGTGTATTAGTAAGGCTACACCTTTTTTAGCTCTATTTTCTTCTTCACTGCAGATTAGTATGTATTCACCTAATTTTTTTTGTCCTTTTTCTTTTTTTTTTTGTTTTGTGAAGCGCAAATATCTATGTGTTTCTCTTTCAATGCTTAAGTTATTTCACGGTCTCTTGTGTTGAACAATCTGATGTTCTATGTAGTAATTCTCATCTGGGTTGTGGATGTTTTGTTTTGTCGTCATTTCTTGCTGTGGTTATCTTTATATTATCAATTCGGTTCCAAGCCTTCACATTGTTTCTTTAGGCAGTATTCGTTTTAGTAGGTTGTTAACTTTACACTTTATAGATAGCAGGTAATGTACCTTTTCCTGCGGCAACATTAGTACAGTCTGTTGGGTGAACTTAAACGTGTTTTAGATTAATAAGCAACTATTTAACAACGCTACCATTAAACAATATTTAGGTTGATGCTTTGAGTCTTCTTCTTCTTCTTCTTCGTCTAGCCATTCACGTCCACATCTGAACATAAGCCTCTTCAAGTCTTCCTTTCCATTGGTTTTTATTGTACGCTACTTGTAGCCAATTTTTCCCGGCAGTCCTTTTCAGATCATCTGTCCATCTCGTAGGAGGTCTGCCTCTGGGTCTTTTGTGTTGGTATGGTCTCCAGGTTAAAATTGATCTGTGCCATTTGTTTACGTTTGATCTGATGCTTTGAGTACGTATCGAAAATTCACAACTAGAATACCCTAAGAAATAGGTTTATTTGGATGAATAGGACTCTTTTTGGTATTTAGTTTAATAACTTAAGTACAATTGGTAATAGAATTTACAACAAGATATTTAATTAAAATATTAAATTAAAACTACAGCTAGCCTAGCCTTTTACGGCCATTACCTACTAAAAGATACCAACTTATATACAATAATTTATACATATTCTCAGTTAAATAGTTGTTTATTTACTTAATGTAACACCTGTATATATTCAGCTAATAGATAATAGACTCCAATGAGGTATTACCAAATGACCCCTTTACGTATTTTAACACACATAATGGCAATTCCTTTCACGACTTGGTCTTTTCGTGGTGTTTGAATAGATAAACTAAGGTATCTATGGTGTATTTGTCTGGCAAGCTCAGCGCTGAATAAAGCTCCTCTTTTTTATTTAAAATGTTTATGTTTTTAATATATTTATTCCTTAGATTAATTTCTTCTAAAATTTTTTATATATTGCCCTAATGTAATCGATATTTTGATCTTGTCTTAACTTAAGCTAGAAATATAGTATTAGTACCGATAAACTGAAATTTAATATAATGTAGCGAAAATCAAATTAAAGTTGTTAAATTTTTAGATACATAATCCTCAGCAACGTCTACAAAACCTGCCTAGCGACTCAGGGCTCCCTGGATAAGCTACCATCAATAATAGAAGTTGCCAACAACTGGAATGGGCCTATATCTCTCGCGACATTTGCGGCCAGCGAAGACGAACTCAATGCTTTACTGTTTTATATCTCGTACTTGAAAAAATGTAATGAAAAAATCAACGATAAGGTAACATTCCATCTAGCATTGACCAAGGACCGCAAACCGAAGAGGTTCAACCTAGATATAGAAAAACTTAGAGAAGCGAAATGTGATAGTCCAATAGAAATACTTCAACACTTAACTAGAAACCTCCACAAGGGTGCTAATCAATGGAGAGCCAAATTACCGTATCCTCAGAATCATTTGAGAAACTTGGCTCGGAAGAACTGTCAAACGAAGTTCGTTTTCCTTACTGATGTCGATATAATCCCCAGCAGAAACATGGCTGAAAGTCTTGATGTGTTTTTTAATGATGATGTATGTAAGAAGGGGAGAAAATGTGCTTTTGTTGTGCCAACTTATGAAATTGACGAGAGAGTGATGTTTCCCCATAATAAGACTGAGCTAATAAGAATGGCGACTAAGGGACTGGCCAGACCATTTCACCATAAAGTCTTTATTTATAATCAGTATGCCACAAATTTTTCAAGGTAAGTTAATAAAACAATTTTTTTTTAATCTACATCTACTTAATTAATTCCCAATAGTGAAAATATAATTCCTCATTTTTGCTAATTCTGTCTTGGTGCACAAAACCCAAAAAGTATGATGTGTTCCAAGAGAGAATAAACCCTTTATATAATTTCTAGTTCCTAAGTGATTTAACAATCGCTCTTGAAACTTTACATGAAAGATATGAAAATATAAAGCAACTTGCTGGCGCACCCGTGACGCAATTGCAATTAACCCTTCAGCGGACAAGCTAAATAAAATTACATAAAAAAAATAAAAGATTTACAAAAAAAAATTAAAAATCAAATAAATTTTCTTAACCTATTTAAGTATTCTGTATTTCTATAATATTCTATTGTTTCAATATAATTGCAATTGGTTGTAAACTGATTTTGTTTACAACCCTGTAATTTTCAAAATAGTATATTTCCCCTTGTTCATTAACTTTACTCCACCCTGTAGGCCAAGACGTTCATTCATTCCAATACATTACAAATAAATTCTAACGGTACTGGATAATCTCTAACGGTACTCGGACCCTATGAACAATTACTTAGTACCCGATTTAGGCGACCGATGGTCGAAGAAATATAAAGACACTCTCTCTGTTAGCAACCCTCGCGGGAGAAGGATGTGCTCTTAATACTTAAATTTGTGATTTTGGTAATTGCGATTCTCAGAGCGTTCTCTCTCAAGTGTTTAACAATAAGGAAAGTTGTCTCCGCGATTGTGAAACATAACAACCTTGTGTAGCCTTTGTGTATATTATATATTGTACCCGTTCTATAGTGTGTTTTTGTGTTAAGTATAGTACGTAGAAAAATAAATATTAGCTACAAGTTACTTGTATTCTTTACGTACAATAGACATCAAAATAATACAGTCCACTTAAAACCCCAGAGAATACCGGCGATATAAGTTCATAGCAGATCAAAAGCACGTGGAATCGCCACTAATTCCACCCCCAACGCCGGCATTTTCTCCATGGTCTATCTTCGAACCGGATGAAGAAGTCTCTATGATCAGCTTTACAATTGAAGCCCAATCGAGTTGAAAGGTGCACAGCAGCAGCCGCAAGAAGCAGACGCAGGTAGACGTAGGCCTCCCCGAAAGCCTAGTGTATCGAGGTAAACTCTTTCTTTAATAAACAAAGTGCAGTGATAGCATTAACCGCATAAACAGATTGTTTTGTCAGAAGTGAATATAATTAAGTAATTTAGAACATAAAATTTAGATTATATGAATTTGAGAAAGCTATGCCGGTCTGGAATGTTTTTTTTTTGTATGTTTTTGTATGTTTCAGATGATGCTACGAGAATAATAAAAGCTACAAATTAGTTGTTTTATTTTGCATGTCTTTATTTATTTCATCGTAAACCAGATTGGCATATGCATTATTTAATTTTGTATTTAATATTAATATAGAACCGTAGATTATCAATCAAGCTATCACTCTTCTCATAATATTTGGTGATTCTGTTACAGTGTGAGTCACAAAGTTGCAATTTAAATATAATTTAATTCTTGATTTTTTACACATAATAGAAAACTTAATTTACATATTGCTTCATAGTATATTTTAATGTAAAATTTATTTATATTGAATAATTTATTTTATGTCGTGTACTGTTACTCTCATTTGGATTTAGCAAGAATATTTCTTTTTATTTCTCGTTCTGTGTCGGGTTCAGCGTATACCCTTTTGTATTTCTCTAGAAGTATCGTTAAAAAAATATATACCTCTCTGCATTTCTCTCTCTCACTCTGTGTCTTATCTTTGCATTTTACTTGAAGGGTTAGTTCAGCAAAAATACTTCTCTTTTTTAGCATTCTTAGTATAAGTAGTTCTTAGTAAATTCGCAGTCAACTCGTTGTTTGTAAATACAAACATGGACACTCTTAAGAAAAAGCGTAGTACTTACAAGGCGCAATTCACCCGCATAAAAAAGTGGTACAGCGCTAATACCTCTTGTGCTGATAAACATCAGTTGATGTCTCGTATAGATATTCTCAATGAGAACTTAGCTAAATATGACTCCATTCAAAATGAAATTGAGTTACTGGACTCACCCAGTGACTCCGAGGACAGAGAGGAATACGAAAATAAATGTCTGGATTTAAAATGTACCCTACAAGCTCAAGTAGAAGCCTTAAATCAAGTGTCTTCTCGACCAGATCCTGGTCATTTTCCTCGTAGTAGCCACTCTCATATAAATATTCAGCTACCAAATATTCACTTACCCACATTTAGTGGAAATTGCATCGAATATCCTTCGTTTATCGACTTATTCAGAGCCCTAATTGTCAGTAATTCACAGTTATCATCAAATGTTGAGAAATTCTTTTATTTGAAATCATATCTCAAGGGAGAAGCGGTAAAGCTAATTGATAGGTTGCCGGTAACTGATGATAATTTTGTCATAGCTTTAGATTTATTACACAGCCGGTATAGTAATCAACGGCAGATAATTCGCTCTTATTATCAGCAGTTACTAGCCACTCCTACATTACAAAAATGTACTTCGCAATCGCTGAGACAATTTGTTGCAAATTCTAAGGCAATTTTCGATGCCTTAGACACGGTAAAGTTAAGTAAAGCAGAATTGTTTGAATCCTTACTTGTTCATTTATTGGAACAAAAACTTGATTACAGCACCCGTCGCTCATTTGAAGAGCAAGTTTCAGCGAATCAGCTTCCTTCTGTTGATGACTTTTTCGATTTTTTGAGTAAGCATTGTGTCGTTCTGGAAAACATCACCTCTGAGAATTCCATTGCGGCCCAACAACCCACTTCTAAAGTGACTAGATTCCAAGGTAATGACCATTCTCACCCAAGTAAGTTCAAGGTAGCTTTTCACTCACAATCAAACCCCTCTAGTCAAATGGATTCAAAATCAAAGCCATATACCCCACAGTCCAAAGGATGTAGTTACTGCTTGCAGCAAAATCACCGCATCTACTCATGCACTAAGTTTTGTTCATTGCCTGTATCTGATAGGATTGAATATTCGAAGGCCAATAAGCTCTGTTTTAACTGTTTAGGTAGTAAGCACTTTTTACAAAACTGTTCGTCAAAGTCTTCCTGTTCCCTATGCCACTCGAGGCACCATTCTCTCTTACACAACACTCGCAGCTCACCAGCTAACACTCATACTGCAATTGAGCCATCTAATCATTCACTTAACCACGGAGAGTCTTCCACTCGTCCTATATCCCATACTCTTCTGTCAACTCAGCCAGAAATTGACCAGTTTAGCGTCGTAAATCAAAATGACTTCACTTCACGCTCAACTGTACTATCGACCATCACCACACATGATACTCACGTCTTGTTGGCTACAGCAAAAGTTCACATTTATCCAGTAAATGGACGACCTATTCTAGCCAGAGCCATTCTGGATTCTGGAAGTCAAAGTTCATTTATCACTGAGTCACTAGCTAAATCAATAGGATGTAAACGGCATCCTTCTGGTCTGCATATCTCGGGAATCCTTAATGAAAGTAATGTCATTAAGGAAAGAGTTACTATAGATATCTTTCCTCGCAATTCTTCTGCTAAGCGGTTTACTCTTTCTTGTGCAGTAATACCTTTCATTGCAAATTGCTTACCTCAGACAGCCATTGACATAAGAAAATTCAAAATTCCCTCTCCTATATTAAATAGGCTGGCCGACGAAGATTTCGGTCAACCAGCTGGCATTGATTTGCTCATAGGAGCTGATGTTTACTATGAGCTTTTGCTACCAGGACTTGAAAAGTTGGGGGAAGGATTGCCCTCTCTTATACAGACACAGCTAGGATGGGTTGTGTCTGGCTCTGTACCACTCAGTTATCTTCAACCCCAATTTCGACCTCACCCAAAATCGTACACGTTTCACTCGACCCTTGGTTTTCAAGAAACTGAGGAATCACTTAATGAACCGCTAGATCGCTTTTTTCAACAGGAACAAGAGCTTGATGTTTCTAAAAGTTCGGAACAGGATGAGCTTGCCGAAGCAATCTTTGTTTCGACCCCTAAAATTCTGAAAGACCGCCGTTACCAGGTCGACCTCCCTCTCATTTACCCTTTAGCTCACAAAGAATTGGGCGATTCATTTATGTGTGCTAAAAACAGACCCAATTTATCTCCTGCTGAGTCCTCTGCAGAGTTTAGCAGCGCGTCAAAGGACATTCTTCCGTCAAAGGGCCATGCAAGGTGCTAGGCATTAAGTGGGATCCCGCAACTGATGTATTCCAAGTTGCCATTCCAGAGTCGCTTACTGTTAGTTCACCTACCAAACGAAAAATTCTCTCTATCATAGCGCAGTGCTATGATCCTCTAGGTTTTGTTAATCCTGTAATTGTTCACGGAAAAATTCTAATGCAACAAATATGGGCCAAAAATCTCTCTTGGGACCACACTATAACTGATCCCGATCTTTTAGACAGTTGGTTTAAGTTCTTGTCAAGTTTAACAAACCTGTCCTCCTTCTCGATTCCTCGGTGCATAATAGATGTAAAAGACGTAGTACAAGTCGAATTACATGGGTTTTGTGATGCCAGTACTCAGGCATATGGATGTTGCATGTATTTAAGAGCAGAATACTCAGATTCACCTGTGTCATCTACACTTATTGCTGCAAAATCGCGTGTAGCTCCAGTGAGGAAGCCTCTCACTATACCTAAACTCGAGTTGTGTGCAATGGTTCTCTTAACCAGTCTTTACACAAAGCTTTATCCCATAATATCTCGTTCTCTTACCATTTCTGACAGTATCTTGTGGTCAGACTCCATGGTAGCTCTCTCTTGGGCGCACTCACCTCCCAAAAAATGGTCCACCTTTGTGGCAAACAGGGTGGAAATAATCCAAAACACTAACCCTTCCCCAAAGTGGAAGCACATAAAGTCTGAACTCAATCCCGCAGACCTCTTATCTCGGGGCAAGCTTTCAGATCAGGCCAGATCCTTCTGGGCATCTGGACCATCATTTCTACTTGAT